CGGCGCTTGGTGCCAGGGGCGCTCCAAGCGCGCGCCTGAGTTCAGGCCTTTCCGGCTTGCCCAGTGAGCGAAAATGCAGTCGTGACACAAGTCATGGGGGTTTAGCTTCCTGTGTCGGCCATCCTTGTCGGCGCAGGGGACTTGGGGGAACCACCTTCCTTGCCAGGCGCCAAAAAAGCGAACCCTGTGGGCCTTTGTTTGCTGACGTCCCATCAGGCATGTTCCATACTTACATCATGCGTTGCAAACAAATACCATACACCATACTGTACTCGTTTTGTGCTGTGCTGTGGCATGCCGCGCTGTGCTCGCTGTTTTCCCTGCCGAGGTACCGTCACTACGGCCTGTACCGCGTGCTGGCTCCCCGGGAGCCCTTGTTGTCACCACGGACTTCCGTGGAGCGCAGCGGCAGCAAGGAGTCCAAATCGGACGACGTAACTTTGCTTCCAGGTGCGCTGACAAACCCTTTTGGAGGCAAAACGGTTCAAGTGTCACCAGTGATGTCTCTGACTTAGTTTTGGAATGCCAGTCATGGAGGACCTTCAAGGCAATTTAAGCCTTGAATGGCGCTGAGTCCAAACCCTTTTGGAGCTTCAGGAAGAAGACTGACCATCTCAAATGGAGGGGCTACTCAGGCCAGATCGAAACAGTTAAAGACGACATTCTTGCGACTTCCGGAAGACCTAGATCCGTCATTTCCGTTGTGCCTGGCAGTTGGATTCCACTGTCCGCCCGGCTCCGTCGCGGGTGGTGCGCGAGTTTCACGCGCGAATTTTCGCGGCAGGTATGACCATCTTTGCCCCCGATGCCATCGAGCTCCCGCAGACGTCTTAGATCTGGTCGGCGGATTGGGCCCAATGTGATCCGTTGATCTGCTCTGAGGCAAAACATTTGGGGCGAACCCCCCTGCGACTGACATGGAGCTCGAAAAAGGAGCCCCCAAGAAGCAGGTCCCTCTGAGAATGATGGCTTTTGAGGTTTCTTACACTGCGATCATCTGCAGGAGCGAGATTTGTGAAATTCTAGTTCCGGCCCTAGATCGATAGACTGCTGCGACTGGTCGATGCGGAATGTCCGCCAGGAGGAACATGATTTCTGAAGGAAAAGGCGCTTTTCTCAACCGGTGGCGAGCTGTTGATACTGAGCCATTGCAAGCCATACGGCGGCCGTTTGGCATAGCTTTGCCCAGTCCGGGTACGATGTCTGTGTGGAGTGTCAAGCTTTCGGCTCTCCCTACGCACGAAATCCTGCACCACTTTGAAACCATGGTTGAAGCCATTATTTGTGGGCAGGACTCGAAACATTCCAGGGTTTCTTAGGTGGTGTTCTTTTGATCTTCTTGGCAGGCCGCCCCCCAACCTGGTGGGCCTTTCCGAAGATGAAATGCGGTGAGTCCTCTGGCAAATGGCAGCATCGGGCTTGAGCTTCAGCTGAATTTTGTCCTGTTGATGCCCTCAGCTGGTTGATATAATAGGGTGTACTCCTATTCCATGCCTCCCAGATACCATGGGGAGCAAGGCCATAGCACGTTGGTACGTAGCTCAGCTTCCCTCTACTGTAATTGGTGGTCAAATCACCACGCCAAGCGGGAAGCTGAGGAGCTACCCAGGTTAGGGGGTGGACCTTTGGGACCTATGCTAAGCACTTACCAATTGAGCTTGAGAAAAGGGATGCCTCAAGGGATCCATCAAGGAGTTCCCCATTTTATCATTTTTTCCATCGAAGGATCCCTATAGATCTCATCAAACATGTGATTGCTCCCCAGCAATCGGTGGCTCATTTGTTGTCCTTTCCCACCCGGCTTTGGGCCTTTGGACACCTGGGTGTGGGTCAAACATAGGTACCCAACACGGAACCCTGGAAACGGAAACAAGGACTAAACCCCGCGGTTTATCTGGTATAATTTTGCCCCATACCCTGGCAAAGGTGTGTAGCAACTTTTGGCCGAGGAAGCGCCCCCGATCCTCGCGGCCCAGCTCCATCGAGTCCCTAAGGGAGCGATGCCTCGGCGATTCGGGCGATTCTCGGGCGCGGGGTTTGGGCGGCGGCGGCGTTTCAAGGGCAACGAGCCGAGGCGCTGCAACCCCCACCCAGGCAGATTTGCCCAAAGCAGGCAAGAGCTCCCTCGGAAGGAAGGAATTCATTTGCTGAGATGGAGCTCGCACGGAGTTCTGGGTATTTGTGTCCTTGAGGTCTGGAAGGTTACTGCAGGAGAAAAGCTAAGGGCCCAGTCAATCGAGCCAAGCTTTTGATTTGGAGTGCCCTTAGGTGAAGACCGGGAGTTGCTTGGTCAGTCTCCCCAGGTGCGGGGCAGGAAGTTCTTCAAATCCCGGAGGGGGAGATAGAGCCCGGGCTCTGCAAAGTCCTGTGACCCAATGCGCGCAGGACCAGGTGGAGACGTACAAGCCAGGCCGTGGGCTTTGCCTTTTGCATTTGAGCCTGGCGAATCTCAAGATGTGGATGGTTGCGAAATCCAGAAGTTGCACCACCGTTCAGAAACCCAAGAGAATGATTCGATTCCACAACGTGATACCAACCAATGTTGGTTTCAACCCTGATTTCAAAGTGGTGCATATCTTTGCTTAGGAATTCCTTTGGTTGTTTTGGACATATTGTAAAAGTTCGCGGATGTGAGTGGCATACTCGGGCAACCCTCCAAACGCCCGCAGGACGCCGCAAGCGGCCCAGCTCAGCTCGAACCTACCGAGAGACCGGGTGCTAGGCGCGGCCGGTTGGCTAACAAATCCCAGGCAGAGTAGCTGACGTTGAATCTGGGTGGCTCGTCTATTTTTTTTATGAATCGGACCCTCCAAAACGGATTTCGGTTTTTGTTTTCGCTTCAAAACCACGACAGACAGGGTGCCCCCCAACGCATATTACTGGGGGTCTACTTCCGGTGTGGGGAGGACATCGGGGGGCCCACACAAACACCAGGTGGCCACCAAATTGTCCCGTCTCCTTTGGTCATGGCTTACAGTTCTCCGTTCTTCCTTTACCTCGTGTTTTGTTTGATGGCCAGGTGCGAACGACCATACCAGGATTCAGGTAAAATAGCCTTGTGGCGGTTTTGGCAAATTATCTTTGTGAATATGTATGGTGTTGCGTGCTTTCATTGACCCAGGCACGGGGCTTCCTGCAAGGCATCGTCTCAGTGAAGGGTCTGTGTTGTGTATCTGTGTGTGTGTGTGTGTCTGTGTGTCGCTGTGTGTCGCTGTGTGTCTCTGTGTGTCTCTGTGTGTGTCCGTGTTTCTCTGTGTGTCTCTGTGTGTCTCTGTGTGTGTGTGTGTGCGCGTGGGTGTGATTGTGTGTGTGTGTGTGTGTGTGATTGCGTGTTTGTGTGCGTGTGGGTTTGTGTTTGGTTGCTTGTTTGTTTGTGTCTGCGCGTTTGTGTTTGTGTGTCTGTGTGTGCGTACTGGTATGTGCAGCAAGGGCCGGAATTGCAAACAGGAGTTGCCCTACTTGCCAAAGCTGGGACTGTTTTTAAAGGAAGCTGCTTTGGGACACCTGGGAATCCTCCTTTGAATGCGCGCGGCAGGTGTGAACATAGACGACTTGACGAAAAGAAAGAATCTTTTCGCATGCTGCCAGAACGGCACCTTTCAGGATAGACATGGCGAACACCTGCGGCAATTGCGGCGCAAGCGGCACAAGATGCCACACCAGAACATGTGCTGCAATGAAACGGTTATGTAGCGTGACAGTTTAGATGCCGAAGCTTGAAGTTGACTAGCATTCTGATTGTTTGAGTTCTTGGGCAGACTAGGTCAATTTACCAGATTGCAGGCGGAATTGCTTAGGATCAGCCAGTTCTCGCAGAAAAACTGGAGCACTGCACAGACTTCCTCACGTTTTGGTCTAGCCATTTATGCGGGAGCCCCATGTCTGGTTTCCCTGTGGTCTCCGTGCAACACTCCTAGAAAAAAGGTGTGTCAAAAATAGGGCACGCAGCGATGTTTTTGGCGACTCCGGTTCCCTCTTTCCGACTCGCAGTCATCGCCATGCATCTTCTCCGGCAGTGGGTGTGGACGGAAGCTCGGCCCAAGGCCTGCTTGTTATAGCGCCCCGCTCTGCCGTCGGTTTTGCAGCGCCCAATTTGTCCCAGAGCCATTGTCCAGCTGAGTCGGGATTTGGGATTGTAGGGAGATCCATGTAAGCCACCGTCGAGACTTTTAGAACCATAGGGCCCACGGGATGTTGGGCGCTGGCACCATTTTCGGGGGCGCAGTTCTTGAGCCGGGCTTGACACGAGAAGCAAGCAGAGGTGGGCGCACTTGGACAGGCGGACCCTAAGTAATGTACCCCCAACCAAACGCCCTTTCGAGTATGAGAAGAGTACAGTCCGAAGAGGGGGGGGATTTGGGAAGCATGTGCCAGACCGTGAGGCTGCATCGCTTTTGATGTTGGGCGCGGAGCTTTTTGCTTCTGCTGTGTGCGTTGCTTCATGTTCCCGACCCGCAGTTTTTCTTCAAGGCACAGCAGGAGAAACCAGCGATCCGCTGTTCAGCCGAGCTGGGCCATGCAGCACGGTTTTGGCAAACCATTGGTCTTAAACCAATATGGGTGTAGGTCAAAAATAGGTACCAAAAATGAACCCTGCTAAATGGATACATGGACAAAAACTAGCGGTCCCGTTGGTGGTTTAAGTTTGACCCAGACCCATGTCTGGCCTTCGCAGCAGGGTGCAACACAGTTTCGACCCGCCTTTTGTTTGGCTCCCATGTGTGTGTAACAGCCAGCCTGGTTCAACCGAACTCAGTGAAGCAACCACAAATCATGGCATGTTTGCTTTACGAGCACCAAGCCTTGGGACATGATGTATTCTTGTTTTCGCACATGTTGATGTATCATTTACCCCTTGGTTGGTGGTTTGGATTGGTGGCTTGAGGAGTTGAACCTCTGGCTTTTGTAGAGGGCAAATGGGAAACCCCCAACCACCAAACCACCAATTAGAAGGAAGCTGATCATAAGCTGCGGTGCATACCCCTTTTTGAGCAACGGGATTTCGCGGCAGACGTATCCTCATGTGATTTTCGCCGCCCATGGCGGCGGACAGATCTCCCTCGATCAGCCCTTGCGGGGTTTCTCAGGGGTTGTCTTTCAAAAGGGGGGCCGGGGTGTGTAAGCCGTTCTGGAGTACAAAAAACGTGGTTCTGTGGCCGAGCGGGAGCAGGGAGAGGTCGGCAACACTGAACCACCTTATGTTGGAACAGCCTCACTCATGATGAAGGACGTGGGATTTGCACATGCGTTTTCTGCAGAATAGTAAATAAATGTAAATCGCAATGGACATATGACCGTCTCTAGCCCTGGCCGGCCACAGACCCGGGCCCAGCGGTCCCCTCACCAAGTTGGGCTGGGGGATTGGCACACTCGCACAGAGACCGACGGGGGGCTTCCCTTTGGGAAGCACAGCAGGTGTCCAGTTATGTCCAGCATTGTCCAGTTTTTGGCCTCTTGAGCTCCTGGCGCCTTGCCTCCAACCCGATGCTATGCGCGCGGTTCTGGCCCAGGGGCACTGGGGTGGGCGGGCATACGGCCAGTGCGCCTTCATCACCCTCTAACCCTTGCTTCCCACCATTGTTTGTTGCTTGTGTTCTTACCCAGGGCTTCAAGAACCTGTAAAAATGTCGTACCCTGACTAAAACATCGTGTTTTTTCTCGATTTTCTGAAAACATCGTGTTTTCAGGAAAAACATCGTGTTTTTGATAAAACCCCTTAAAAATTGGCTTCTGAGGCCAAACGCTCATTTGGAGCAAAGGGTCAAAGGCAAGGGTCGGGAGTGAATTCACACAGGCATCACCCATTAAGATCTCAACTGAGGGCAACGCTCTATACTGAGTATGCTTCAAACTCTAAGGACCACATTGAAGAGCCTGACAGCCAGGGTGTGCAGCTCGCAGCAGTCTTGAAGTACCTTTCACAGCAACAGGCACCTGAAGACTGGCGCCAGGTCATACCGAACCAGTTTGAAGGGGGTGCTGGAATCCGAAAGCTCCTTTTTGGTGCAAAACAAGACCAGGTCACAAGATTGTTTTTATAAAATTTGAGATTTTTTTGGAAAATGGGGCGGGGTCCTGGCGGCTAACCGCAGAAACCCGTAGAAAACCCGTAGAAAACCCGTAGAAACCCGTAGAAAACCCGCAGCCCAACCGAAAACATTGTGTTTTTGGAAAACATCGTGTTTTCTAACCCATAGCTAAACCGTGGAAAACCCGTAGTAAAGCGTGGCAAACCGTGGAAATTCTATGGGTTTTTCGGGTTCAACCACGAATGCGCTAATTCGAGAATGTTGCTGGAAAACAACGAAGTCGTGAGCAAAAGCACGGTCTTTGCTTGAGCTTGCGCGCTGTTCGAAGCCAGCACGCCCTCATCATGGCATTGCTGCTTAACAAGTGTCATAAAACCGTGGTACTTTTGACTATTTGGGTCCCCGGCCTCCTTCTTTCAGATTGGAGTTGCGAAAGACGAGTGGCGAATGCGAAGCTGATTTCGTTACGAGCGCAAATGGGGAGGGCGATGGGAGATTCTCAGGTTGAGATGATGCTTTTGAGATCTTTTGAGAACGGATGACGAGTTGAAGGAATGTATGGGAAAATGCTTGAAATCGAAAATGCGGTGGTTCCCGAAAACATCGTGTTTTCCAAAAAAACATCGTGTTTTTTGTAGGTATGACATTTTCATCGGTTTTTGAGGCTCCTGGTAGTGCTTCATTTGTATGTATGTGCTTGCAGCTGCAGCAAAGTCTGGGTTGGGTCTGGGTGCAGCTGGCAAGAAAAACGCCCACCCACCCACCCTGGTGATCACTTGGTGTTGATAGGGCTTGTGGGCCCAAGTGCCCTAGGGTTGGGCTGGCTGCAGGTGGCACAACAGGCAGTTGTGCCACTTGCAGCCTGTGTGGTCAATCTTTGCAGTGAAAAGTGTGTGTGTGTGTGGGCAAGTTAGGGATTGAGGGTTCTGACAGGTTGACTTTTCGCGCGGTTCTGTGACAGGATGAGGTCAGACAGGTTCTACCCTTCGGTTGGTGGAGCCATTGGAGGATCCCTGGTATGGGAAAATTGCCTTTCAAGCTTCCAGTCAGATTCTGTGAGAGCAAGCAGGAGGGCAAGAGCCATTTGCACCGTGCGTCTGAGTGTCGTCTCGTGCTGCTGAGGCACGGCGTCATCTGGCGAGGGTCCGAAGAGGTGCGGCAAGCGAACAAGAGCGGTTCGAGTACGCTTGCCATGCAGCTACCGAGTCATCATTCTGCGCTGGATATTGCCGGATCTTGCGGTTGTTTTGGTCAGTTTGGCTTTGTTTGGCTTGTTTGCGTGCTGTTGTGTTTTCTTTCTTTTTGCTTGTTTGCTTGTTTGCCTGCCTGCCTGCTGGTCTGTTTGTCTGTCGGCCTGCCTGCCCGTCTGCCTGCCCGTTTGTTTGTCTGTCTCCTGTTTGTCTGTCTGGTGGCGGTGTGTGGCCCATTGCCAAAAGCATCGGCGTCCGGCTTTTGAGGTTTACTATTGTTTTGTGTTGTTTGGATTTGTTTGTGTTTTGCCGGACTGGCACATGACATATGCACCATCATTGCATATCGCAGGGTGTGTGTGTGTGTGTGCCCCCTCTTTTGTTGAACGAGCTGAATTGTGTTTTTTCCCTGAAGGGCTTGATCAACTCAGAAGGGCAACCAAAGAGAAGCCGAACCCCAAGAGAAGCCGGGCCACCCCTTTCTGGGCGGTGGTGTTTCTTTTGGTTCCCTTTAAGCCCAGCTGAAAAAGGTACCAAGTACCTTCTCTCCCACGCAAAAAGCAGCAAGTAATCAACAGCTTTCTTTTGGTGACCCCTTTTAGCCCTGCACCCCCCAACCCAAAACCCACTCAACAACCACAAGTTCCATTTCGAGTTTCGCGCGCCTTCGGGCGCGGGGTTAGAAACCCCCAGGCCGAAGGGGCCGAAGGAGAAGAAGCCCAAGGCGCAGACCCAATTGCCGCCGGAGGGGTCTGCAGAAAAATTCGGCCCGGCTGGGTAGAGGCTCCCATCCGGTTCCAAGGTTCCAAGCAGGAAACTGGGGATTCGCATTTAGACGGTTTCCAGCTTGTACCGTTAGGGCCTTTAACTTGGATTCATTTCTTTGACGGCGTCCAGCTTGCAAGGACATTTGTTAGAAACCATGTCAGGAAGTTGGCACAACCCCTTGTGTTCAGGTGTTTGGCTGATTTCCTCGAGAGGGCTTGCTTTCTGGAAGCCACGCCCAAGCCCTTGAAGGAAACCAAACTGGTGATCCGAGCCAATGACAACTTTCTTCTATAGGTCAGGGGGCACTTGAAACCATCCGAGTATGAGAAGTTGTGTGGCACCAGGATGCTAAAAAGGCGTGAAACTGCGCCCTGCGCTCGAGCGCGCAGGCAGCACCCAAGGGCACGGGCCTTAAACGTCTCGCCTGGGCTGCAGGTGTGCTTGAAGCAAATATGCTGCCTCAGATGTTGTATCTTTGCTTGGGATTTGGGTGGGGGGGGGGGGCATAGACCGGGTGGCGTAGCCCGGAAAGTGGGTTTCTTGGCAATGCCCCAGGCGTCCCTGCATGAGTTGAAGAGAAGCTTTCAGGCAGTTGGCCTTAAGCAGCTTCTCAATGCGACGCAACATGCAACGGAAGTTTCTCGGTTCCTATTCTGGTTAGCCCTTTGTTGCCCGCGCGCCGGCTGCTATCAGGACAGTCGAAGGAGAAGGCCCGCAGCAAGCATCAAAGGGCTGCCGGGTTGACGAAACGGGGGAACCTTTTTGCGGCGGAGTCCTTTGAACCAGACGGCGCATTGACCTCACTTGCCCAAAGATAGACCTCTTAACTTTTGACCTTTTGGTTGTCCTCTTTTGGTCCATAAAGGTAGTCAAGGTCCCGAAAGGTGATCACCTTGTATTCCGGGTCCTTTTTGGGCAACTGGGTGACAGCTTCCAGCCTGCACCAGGTGGGAAACTCTGGATGCAGAACTAGAGAAACAAAAAACTTGACTGCTATTGGGTTGGGTCTTTAGACTTAAACTGTTTGGGAAATAAAGCTGTTTTCCACTAACCCCCCAAAAAGTGACACTTTTTGCAGGGGGATCAACAGCAGCCAAGAAATAGTTGGTGTAGCTTTCCGACTCTAAGAAGGCAAGCGCTCCAGAAACATCCGGTTCTGCGATTCAAGGAGCGCTCCGCATCCGCGATTCAAGGAGTGGCATGCCTTTTGGTTCGTTGCAAACTGGCATGGAACCCCTGCAAAGCCGGCCCCCCCAAACAAATGCAGGGGTCCGCGTGATGTGTTCAGGGCAAAGGCTCGTTGCAGTGTGGCACTTGCCTTTGCCGCAGACATGTTGGCTCGAATGAAAGATGTGCAAGATCGGGGCCCATGGGTTAAAGCCAACCTGCACAGTTGGAGCTCTGACCAGCTGATGAGAGCCATGTTGCTTCTGGACTCCCTGTCACCAGCGCCACGGCCCATTCTAAGAGCTGACCGGGGCCAAGCCCGCAGGCCACTGGCACCAAGAGGGTTCTCAATGGCCGGATGCCCAGGGCATGCATCATCCAGGCAGCTGATTCGCACCCCCTCGGCCGGTTTTTTCCCCTGGGGTTTGGGGAGCCATGGTGCGGCCCGCCTGGGTCTTCTTATTCTGCCTCTTCTTGGCTGCGCAAGGCCGGGTTTTTACAAACCACAGGGCTGACAGCAACCAGTTAACCAAGTTATTTTCCACGGCGACAACAGGCACAGGTGATACAGCTTGCTAGATTCAGGGCTTCAACCAGTGGTTGAGTTGAGATTCCTTGTGTCCAGGATTCTTCAACATAATGCGCGGGTTTTGGTCGGCAGAGCTCGGCTTGATTCGAGATGGGAGAAAAGGAGTGCGAGTGATTTGTGTTCTGCAGGTTTTGGGCCTCGAAGCAGGGGTGGAACTCTACGCTCATCAGCGGTCGAGGCAATTGTGATGTTTAAACTTGGTGTCCTGATGCGTGAATTTTCCGGTCGGCCCCCCTCTTCAGCCCAGTCAAACTCAAAGACCCAGCGCTTCCAGGGGCGGAAGGGGCGCTCGATCGCTCGATCGCGCCCCGAGGCCAAGTCAGATCCCAAGAGGCGGAAGCGGAAGGCGAAGAAGAGGAGGAGTTCACGGATGTGGACTTGGCAGAGGCGTTGATGCTTTTGGGCGGGATCTCCTTTGTGATGACCATGTTCTACCTGGTGAATGACGAGGATCCGGAAAGATGCCGTTTGCGTTGAAGGGTTGCTTTCGTGAATCTTGGCCAGGCTGCTTGTGGCAAGTCGTGCCCCACAGCAGAAGATGATTCACCAATTGTTCGGTGTTCGCCAGAAAATGGCAAGTGACTGTTTCGAAGATGAGATGCTTCACCAACTTGTGGCTGACCCAGCAAACGATCAGGACAGGGATATGAGGTTCTACAGTTGGTCCGTGATCAGTGCGACCCTGTCCATCTTCTCTGCCGTCTTAGTTTTCTCGGGCACCACCCAGATGCTCCGAGCCTATGTCATCCCTCAGGAGGAAGTTCCCAGGCAGGGCTTTTGAATTTGGTGCCCAGAACCTGCGTGGATTCCTTACAAATGCATGAAGGCCCTCGTGAGGTGACCCCTGAAAGTTATGTAAAGGAACCTCACCTGACAAACAAGACTTGACTTGACGTCCAGCATTGCCAGTTGAGCGTGCCTCGACAATATGGAGCCCTTTTGTATGTTGTCAGGGGGGCAATAAAGGGAAGCCAAAAGCACATGAAACCCACCACCTTGTATGGGTTCGTAATTTTGAGAACCCCCCGACCACCCCCCCCCTGCACCCCTCCCCCCCTTGACACCCGCACATACGCCACCACCCGCCCTCACACCCAGAGCTTTTCCACGTGCATTCAACATGGCGGTGGGTCAAAACCAATGATGCACCATTTTAGTTGATAGGTGAATTCGCCACCCATAGAACCTATAATGGTTGGATTGAATCGGATGGGGGCTAACCGATTTGCGTTTTGAAAAGCCCATGGCCACATCCCTCGCCATTTCCAGCAGGCTGCGGCTGGTCTGGGCCGTAGGCCAGGCGCTGGCCTTCTACGTGACGATGCAGCTGGGCACCGCCTATGAGAGCTGTGCCTTGCATCGGGCCACCTGGCGAGCCAGATCCGGGCAGAAAACAAGCCCTGGCCTCACGAAAGCGACGGGCTTTTCTGAAATTTCTGTGGGATAATCATGGCCCTGGGGTTCAAACCATTGGAACAAAGGGGCAAGACCATTATCTACCTCGGTGGCAAGCCCAGCCATCCGGTCCCTTAGCTTTTTCGCCTTTTAGTGTTCAGTAGTAGTTTCCATTTCATTTTTAGCTGGGGATCTGAGGGCAGCCCAGAACAGATTCGCGAAGCTGAGTTGGTCCGCTTTTCTGGTTTTGGCCATTCTTGCAGAATTGTGCCAGAAGAAAAGGAGGTTGTAGGCCAGTTCCTGTGATGACCAAGGGGTTGCCCCTTGATTTGGACAATGCATTGGGGGATGGTCGGAGTTGGTATCACGGGGAGGGTCATGCTACCATGCGCTTGGCCTTGAGGCCTTGCGTATGGCCCTCGTTCGATTCGCTTCGAGGTTGTGAATATTGTTCGGCATCAGCCCATGTCGAGGTTGAGTTTGCCCAGCTTTGGTGTTTGGCATATGTGTGTACTTTTTTTAGATGCACATGCACATGAAATCAGTTGTCTGTGGGCGGCACCAGGGAGCCAAGGAAAAGAGCAATGCGAACCAAAGTGCCATGTGCAGCTAAAGGAGGAGTAATGGTGTTCACGGTTTGCCGGAAGGGGCCCTTCCAAGACCACGTTCTCAAGCGGCAAGCCCTGTTTCAAGCAGCCACAAAGATTGTGTCCAAGGGTCCTCCCTACAATGGTCACCCTCTCTGCCACATTGCCATGGCACCTGACAGCGAGTCCCTCCAGGGTAGTTTCTTTTGATTTCGCTTAGCCAAAAGGGCAAGTGCCACGCTGCCCCTTCCCGTCTTCAGCCACCTTCAGTACGTAGCCTCTTTCGGGGCCAAGCTGTTGGTTTCCGAAACCACTACCCCCAGGTACCCTGCATATAGTTGCCGGAAAAGTGGCTACATATCCCATTGAACTCCTGGATGTGGGAACCATCGTGCCCAGAGCTTCCAGTTGCTATTGCAACTATGACTATGACTAGGTAGCCAGGTTTTTGTCCACGCCTGGGTTTTGCCATAGATGGTTTCGACTGGTTACTAAAATGGGAACTGAGAGCACCGGGTAAAGCCAGCTCCCCCATGAGGCCACCTTCAGCATGAGCGACGACGATGAGCACTTGCACAAGGTGGAGCGGCGCACCAAGTGCTGGGCCACCATCTTTGCTCATATGACGGGTTTCGCGCTCCTGGGCACCTTTCAGTCGTAGGTTTCCTTAGACTTTGGGATGTTCATTTGAGTTTTGGTAGATGCTTCGGTGATGGATCCCTTAAACCGTTTAGGTGTCCGGATTTTGTAGGGGTTCATGATGATTGTTAGAGACTTATGACATAGCCCACCAACATAGCCCACCACCGCGTTGACTTTTTTGCAAGCGAACGACGAAGGTTCATTCATTGCGGGTCCAGGTTGCAAAGCTTGCCGGAATTCCGAGACAGCGCAGCGCTCTCCTTTGTTGCGGCTCCGGCGCCTCGAAACATCGTGATGGCAAAATGTTGTCGCTGCTTTGATTTTGTTTCAAGGGGAATCTATCACTATTGTGAAAACAAGGAAAACAGGTGACTTAAGCAAATGGAGGTTAAAATTGGGATGTTGACCTCATATGTTTGTCAACCTCAGTTTATTAATAGGGGGTGGGGGCCCCGCCAATAGTGGTGTGTTTCCTTACATTTCACTCAGGGACATCCCCTTATCAATAAACTGGGGTTGCTTAATATGGGGTCAACAATAACTTTGCTTACTTGTGGGCTGTTCACTGTCAAACCTTAATCCTTACCTTGGGTTACAAAGGGGGTCCTTTGTTGTGTTTTTCTTGTGGCCCCGAACCCCCCTTGGACAATCGCCTCAGTTTAGGTCTTGTTCCTACTTGGCGCAACTTTGAACTGGACGTCCCGCCGGATTCGGGAAAGGGCTTTGGTTTGGTCGCGGCAAGGCTACGCGGAGCTATCGCAAATCGCCAACCTGGAGACTGTGCCAAACTTGCTTGCGCAATGTGTTAAAATTGTCTTAAAAGGGAGTTGCCTGTTTCCATTTGGCTTCTCTTTTCGTGCATTTTTCAGGGGTCACGTTCGGGGTCCCGACAAGTTGTTCCGACGAGGACACTGACGAGGATGATAGGTGGCACGAGTGGACTGCGGAGCTTTGGAACGAGTACATCATCGACGCCGAGCACGATGCGGCGGCACTGCCACTTGTCCGGGCCAAGCGCGCAACACGATTGCTCAGCATCAATGAGATGGGACCGCTGGTTTACTGCACGAAGTTTTTGAGCCTTAAAGATCAGGCTAGCGATCGAAAGGAGTGAAGTGTGCAATCGGACCCCCAGAAGTTGCGGTTACCTTTGAAGCCGAGCAGCCCCCAACGAAAATGCTCGCCGGCAGGAGTTCAACATCTGTTTCCACATGCCCCTTGTGCGAGACTCGAGTCATGGAATCAGGGAAAGCCCCATTCTTGCTGGGATCTCTTTTCTTCCCCAGAATTGGTTCCCTTTTCATGTTTTTTCCTTTTTCGGGGTTCCCTT